GTGTCTACTAATATAATGATGGTAGAGAAACTATCTACAGTAGAACTGTCACAGTTCGGTAAATTTCTGTTAAATAAGAAAACGACAAATATGAGTCATTATCTTTCGAGGAGCTGAGCTTAATCTGTCGGGGTTCTGCCCTGTGCTTGGGCTTATTTTTAGTTTCTTTGTGTTCTGTGTCTTTATAGTTTATTTCTACCAGTGAAATAAACTACTTTAGTTACCCTCTGTTGACCCGTTGTGCTTGTTTCCTTTCCCCTTGGTTTGCTCCTAGTTGGCCTTTCCGAAACCTGCTCCCAATCGACTGATTATCCTGCCTTGGTTCGGTTTCCCCATATATACACCACCCCTGCAGTCACTCAGTGCTGGTTTGTTGTTTTGTTGCTTACTTATCTCTGGTTCCCCACATTAGTTTTCTTTGACGTTTTTGGTTTTTTTGGGTCTTTGTATTTTTGGTGTTTGGATTTTACCTCAGTTGTCTCATTAAATCTGCAAGACTCACCTCTGCCTCCTGTTCTCTGCATTTCGGTCCTCAAAAACCTCCACTCAACCGTGACCAAATCGCTTTTTTTAACTAGTAAAGAGGAACACAACATTTAAATGCAATGTTTTGTCAAATTTATTGGCTTATAATACTAACCTGTGCAGTATAAACACTCTGCTGCTGTTGCTTTTTGTTAAGCTGTGCATGTCTATAGGCTTTTTCTGTGGCATCTCTTTTCTTATTTGTTTTTAACCAATCTGTCTCTACGGAAGAGGATTAGGGCCAGTGGAAACAAAAGAAAAAGTTAACCGATTTTTAAATTTTATTTCAGTTTAGTATGGGGAAAAAAGTCAGAATTCTGAGATTAAAGTCAGAATTCTGAGAAAAAAGTCAGGATTCTGAGATTAAAGTCAGAATTCTGAGATTAAATTCAGAATTCCCATGTTAAACTGAAATAAAATTTAAAAATCAGTTAACTTTTTTTATTTTTCAGTGGCCCTAATCCTCTTGGGTATGTTTCAGAACTCTGACTTCGAAATAAAATCAGAAGTAACTGCTGGTTTAAATTTACTGTTACTGTGTGTTGTCTCTCCGCCGATCATTACAACGTATGCAGTGAATAACCACCGCCAATCATATCGGCTATTTTCTCAAAGTGACAGATCCAGAGCCATTACACTTAGCAGTCCTACCTACAGGGCTCCGGACAGATCTAGCAATGTTATAATTTTTAATGTTACATCAGTATGTGGGACTGGGAGCAGCGGGAGAGAGAGTAAACTCTCTGAAAACAGACAGCTGCGCTCGTCCAGAGTTTCTGTTGGCTAAATTGATTTAATTAAATCAACGAAAAAGGGGAAAAGTGTGCAAATCATTGGTGAGGACCATCCCCACCAGGCCAATGTTGGTGGGGACATGTCCAAACCAATCGTTCAAAAAGTTATGCCTATTGACTGAGGTGATCCGAAATCAAGGGAGAATCCAGAACAGAATCCAGGACCAGAGTCAAGGCACAGAAACGGGTCAGAGATCCAAACAGTACAACTAAACAGGTCCTAATGGGCCTACAATGGCAGGCTGAGAGCATCAGAGGGCAGAATCAGCTCAGAAACAGGCAGGCTTTCAGGAATGCTGGATTAGATTCACTGTTTGCTTGTAATAATCTGGCGCTATTGATGGGTCTAGGAGCTGGTTATATGGTCAGGGGTGCAGCTGGATCTGATGAAGGTTGATGAGAACAGGTATCAAATCATGATTCAGCCTTGGGGTCATTTAACAATACTTTCTTGGTACAAAAGCCTAATGAAGATGGAGTCACAGAGGAACCATGTTTCTCATATTTGTTTTCCTTTCGTATTCTTAATAACCTATCTGTGCTGTGATTAATATTTTGAGGGGGGACTGAAGCATGCTTCATAATAAGGCTGTAGGCAGACTAGAGTACAAAAATACCAAAATTAACACTTGAAAAGGAGAATCACATTATAAAGTCTAATTATGCCATGATATGTGTATTTCTCATGTCTTTTAACATTTGTTCAGGGTTAGTTGTGTGGGTTGCTTGTGTGTTTTTCTCTCTCCACCACCAGATGGTGCCCTGTTCCTCGTTGGGCCTCCCTGCACATCTGTGGCTCGTTGGATCATTACTGGAGGAGTATTTGAGCAGTGGGCTGTCACTACCTTGACGCCAGAGTGTTTGCCAGTTTTGGGTACTCTAGTCAAGCTGAGATTAGCTGAGTCTATACCTAAGCTTTGTTTTCCTGAGTCTTATCTAGTTTTTGTCTTTGCTCTTCGGCAGGAAGCCTTCCTGGGTAACTGGATACCTGGACCTTCTCCCCCTGGAAGGATTTACTGAGCACACACTGAGCAGGGGAAAACCTCCACATGATCCGTTCAAGTACTCTTCGGATATCCAAGTGACAGACAGCTCCTTTACTCCTCGGGGTCCAACGCTTGCCTATCTGTCCGCCCTCCAATGAGTTCCCTCTTCTCTGGATTAACCCCCACAAGCT